ATGGATGTGTGCATGCTCCTTTAGACGTGGGAGAGGTAGAGACATCCCTAGGTGGGCAAGCTAGAGAAGGACAAAGCAACCAAACCTGCAAATGGAAATGCTTACTCCATGAGTGGCAGCATGTGGCTCAGTACATGCAGTAGCAATGACAATCACTTTCAGCCAGCACCAAAAGTCAGTGAGGAGTGACTGAAAAAAATCATTGTTCCAAAGTCATATGCCTGAGTGTCTAAATAAAGCTACTTATTTGGCGGGAATGCACTCATGAGTTTTGAAAATCTCTCTGTAATCTCTACCTCCTTGACAAAACATGCATTCCCCAGTATGTGTCATCTGAGTGATATTGGGAAATATTTCAGTAATCAAATAAGGCCAATATTCATACTGTTCAGGAAATGTATTATTTATCTTGCCAATGCCTGATTAAATTAATACATCTTTGTAAAGGGTTCTGCATTGTAATGTTTTGTGGTAGTCGAAATTTTTCATCTGAACTTTGTGTGTGTGTTTTAAAAAATGGCTTTTTGACAAAACAGAAATTGTGATTTGAAAAGTTTGGGGGGAAAAAACCAGTTTTCGTTTTCCCCATGAAAACCTGAAAGATGTCAAAGAAAAATGGAGAAGGTGGCTATGAGGCTTTGCCACAATACAAAAAAATATGAGAATGATTGAAGGATTGCAAAGCAGGCCTTGTAGTGATAGATTCAAGGAGCTCAATCTATTTAGCTTAACAAAGAGAAGGTTTAGGAGCGACATGATTCGTTTATAGGTACCTACATGGGGAACAGAAATGTGATAAATATAGGGCTCTTCAATCAAGTGCAGAAAGGTATAGCAGGATTCAATGGCTGGAAATTGAAGTTAGACAAATTCAGACTGGAATTAAGTGGCAACTTTTTAAGAATGGAAGTAATTTACCATTGGAACAACTTGGTGGTCATGGTGGGATTTCTCCATCACCGGCATTTTTAAAATAAAGATCGGATGTTTCTCAAGAAGTTATGCTTTAGTTCAAACAGGAACTAATTCGGGAAGTTCTATGACCTGTGTTATATAGGAGATCAGACTAGATGATCACAATGGCCCCTTCTGCCCTTATAAGTTAAAAATATATATAAAAAAATAATTATAGTGATGCGCACACTTGCTTTGCCTAATTTTATACCCACCCGACCATCAAGGGTTAAAAGGTATGATTCAGACACACATGTTTTGGGAATTGTGTTTAGACGGTAATAGAAGGCTCAGAGGAGGAATGCTAATGAAGAATTAAATGGTATATAAAATTATGCATTGTACACGGACATCCCCTTGTAACAGATTGGAGATTGTCTGCGTTGTTCTTCCAACCCGAAAACATAACACGGGATTCTCTGTAGCTAGAATGTCTCTCTCTCTGTCTCTAAGGTGCTCTGTTCTTTTTGTGGATACAGACTAACACGCCTGTTACTCTGAAATCTCTCTCTGGAGCCAACAGAACCCCATTTGGATTAAGACTTCCTTGAAACCAAAATGTCTCCTTTCAGTTTCGACAAAAGGGCATACTTTGCTGAAATGCCATTTTTTCAAAATGTTCCTACCAGCTGTAATTATGGTAGCACCTATGAGCTAGTCATGGAGCAGGGCCCAATTGTGCCAGGTTCTGTGCAAACACAGAACCAAGAAATGGTTTCTGCCCCAAACGCCTGAAAATCGAAGCAATTGACAACTCAGTCCCTGCAATATTCTACAGCTTGTGAAGCTCCCATGGAAAACATAAACAGCTCTTCCTCGTGAAACCTGAGCAGCACAGTCAATAGAGATTAGCTGCATAGCCGAGTTAAGCCAAAGATCTTCTTGCATGGAGAAGGTGGAGTTAAAATGGTAGCCTGTTTATAAAGCAATGGTGTGCTTGGGATAATGCACGGAAATGTAGGATTACATGCCTAAAAGCACAGTCTCTGTTTGCCCTATTGAAGATTATGAGCTGTGCCTCAAAGCACAGAATCAGGCATATTGCTTTTATTGAAACATGCAGTAATGCAGGGTGGAAAAAAAATCAATTTAGCACAAGCACATCGCATTTTAGACCCCAGTAACTATTGATATCTGCTGTCCTGGAGCAAATCATGTCCTCCACACGTCTGACAGCTGCTGTTTCTCTATCTTCTCTTTGTTATCTCTAATAGCCTTGAGAAAACTAGTTGGTATCTATCTTAAACTTATTTGATAGATAGGGTTTTTCTTGTGCTTCTAGCATCAGTTTGTGGATAATTCTTTCGCCTGCAGAGATCAAAGCTAAAATTGATCTGGGTCATCAGTATACCTTGTCTAGTCTAATGCCTGTACTCTGCTACTGAACTCTCTGACAAAAGTTACTTATTCTCTCTGCTGTAAAACAAGAGAGTTCTAGGCTGCAGTCTTATATTTTAGAGTCTGTGTGCATGCAACTCTGCTCTCTACTGCTTGTCTAACTGCAGGAGCAGGGTGAATAATGCATATTTTGGTTTCTTGGCTATTTTTAAAAGTAAAAAAAAAAAAATATCTGGGGGTCAGACTGAAAATGGTAAATTTTCAGTGAATCAAAAAGTTGGAAAATAATTCATTTCAGGTCAAACAAAATGTTTCATTTGACCCAAGAGAAACATTGTATTTCAATTTTAAGCATGTTTAACCTTAAAAAAAATAAACAAAATTTTGAAACCAAAAAGTCATTTTGATCCAAAAACAGACTCTCAAAATGAAAATGTTGATATTTCTTTGATTTTTTTTGAATAATAAAAAAAAAAACCTGTCAGAATCTTCATGAAACATTTCAGTATCAGTGAATATGCATTTTTATTTAAAAAAAAAAAATTGGCCACAAAACTTTGTCCAGCTCCACTTGCTTGTACATTTTTATTAAAAGCTTTGGCAAACAAGGATGTTATTTTGCTGTCTTCTAACCATTACAAAGCACCTTGTATGTCTCTCCAAAGTGCTCAGCTTCCATCAGTTTCAGTTTGACCAGCACCACCAATTTAAACAGCAACATAGTAACCAAATGATATTTATATCCTCCCCGATTCCTGTGTTTTCTCACAGTAAATAAATGAGAATGTTGAGTAACTTTTCATGTATGTTCACAGATGTATCACAGACCTAAAGAAAGGAATGGCTGTGTTTGAATTGAATGGACTGGGTAACTGGCTGGAAGGGAGAGCTCTTTCTACACCATGGAGCCAGTTTAAAGTCCCGGGGATTGCAGCTTTATTTTCAGAAAATTTGACTCCTGATGTGTTTGTTGTTAAAGACAGGTTATTGCTTTGGGTCCATGCTAGTGCATTTGGATCAATATTTATGCCCTTGCTGAGCGGAAGGCAAAATGACACATCTTTAAAAGACTGGCTGCTCCTTTAGGCCTTGTCTAGGAAAATAAGTTCTGCTTAAAAAATATGTTTGCTAACATGTTTCAGAACCACAAATGAAAACGAGGGTTTAACAGCTTTAAAACATGTTAGATGGTTGTGATCAACCCTGGAGGGATAGGGGGATGCAGCATTGATGAGAGACAGCTAATATGTGCTACCTATATTATTTGTCTAGACACGGCCTTAGCAAACCACCCAGCACATAAGGTTTTGCCTCTAGAGCCTGGTTTTAATTGTGCAATTGATGAGGGTGCCAACAGAAATCATCCAGAACCTCACCCATTATCTCCTGCACAGAGGCCTTCTGTTTTGTTTTGCCAGTGACTTGATTGATGCATGAGGGGATTTTAACAGGAAGGAGAGAGTGTGTCTGGGTGACAACCCATGCTGGTTTTTCACCCTCAGTGAGACGGGACAGGTTTTATGTTCTTAAAATCAATTATATCCATTACTTTTAAGTCAGATTTCCCATAGGATTTCTGTAATCATACTCTGGGTTGTTTAGCCTTGTTCTCCAGCCAGTCGGCCTCCGTGTTCTGAAGGCTGATCCAACCTCTGCCAGCAGACAATGGCTGAAAAGGGCTGCTGGGGATCTCCAGAGGCCAGAGGAGAACTAGATGCACCCATTTCCCCAGCAAGGTATCCTTTACCTGCAGTGGGGAAAGGGGTGGTATAGGAGCTCCTTCAGTGGTTCCAAGCTACTTGATGATCCTTCTACATGGGGGAGATCTGGGGGCTAGATCAGGGGATTAGCAGCACTTTGCACTGGAGGAATGTCACAAAGTAGGGCCAAAGTCCCTCTCCTTTCCTTTTCAAATAGTACAGTGCAGAGTCCCTCCCAGGTGGAGTTTGCTGGCTTGGCAGGTGGAAAATGCAGATGGTTGAAAAATTTCCATCAAAAACTTTTTTTTTTAATGGAAAATTGGGTTTTCAGTAAAATGAAAATGTTCACAGATGTCAGCTTTCCTCGATTTTTTTTTTATTTTTTGTTGGAAACCCCCGAAACTGAAAAAGGGGGTGAAAAACTGAACATTCTTCTGTTTTTAATCTGAAAACCAAAAGGATTGCAGTTTTGGAGGGCTTGGGGGGCATTTTTATCAAACATTTAAATTTTCTGCTGAAAAGTTTGGTGAGAACAAGCTTTTCCTGAATTTTTCTGCAGAGGGAAGAAGAACCTTTTCCAAACAGCTCCAGTAGAAAACTCAGCTTTTTCCTTGGAAGTTGGGCGAGATATGGAAATCAAACACAAGGCTAAAATAAACATGGACTCCTTCCCCCTCCACTCCATACACACACACACTCCTTGGTACAATTATGCCACAAGGCTCGGGCATTCACACACACGACACTCATCTGATGATTGCACACTCGACATTCAAACTGAGCCAGCCAGACAGTTTGGGGGTGGGCAGTTCCCCCTATAACCATATGTACTGTACTGCATGTTCATTCCATATTTCTACTGTATTTGAGTTTCTACTATTTGACGTAGACAGTTTTATGGTCTCACGGTTCAAGCTGTGATCTAAAAGGACACTGTTGCTACTAATAAGAAATGAGGTTTAGAAGCTACACCATGAAATTAAATGTAATTCTTTATGAATTAAATAGGTCCCCAGTGGAACCCTTCCCGTATTGGCCTGCGACTAGAACGCAGTAAGTATTTATTTGGATGTCAAACCACCTACTAGTATATTACGAGTCTGTTTGTTAGCTTGTGTTTCTTCCTAACACTATTACACCATATGGGCTAAGCCATTAGCACTTTTGCTAATTAATATGTATGACTAGCTAATTAGATTTCCCCTCAATTAAGGAATTTGTCTGAGGATTTTCATATTACCCTAGCTCAGGATGCACGATCATGTCAAATATTAATATTAGTATGGGACAGCAGTTTTCAGTGTAAAGCTGCCAGTGCAAAACCACTGCCACCATCAGGAGTGGATTTACCAGTGGCACGGGGCCTCCCAACGACAGGGGGGCCCCAAAATGCAGGACGAATATCTGACAACCTGCCCCCTAGTCCGAGCCGGCGGCGCAGCAGGGCTCAGGCAGGCTGTCTGCATGCCATGGCCGGTGTCCCCACGCCACTCCCGGAAGTGGCCGGCTGCTGGCACATCTTTGCGCTCCACGGGCAGGCGGAGGAGGCAGCTCCGCGCTCTGCCCCCACCCCTGGGCAGTACACAGAGACCCACTCCCACCCTCTCCTCCCAAGGGGCACACAGAGACGTGCCAGCAGCAGCGCAGCCTGGTTAAGGCGGTTCCCTGCCCACTCCGCCTCCCCCCTCTGCTCCACTTCACTCCTGGAAGTGGCCGGCATGTCCCTGCAGCCCCGGGGTGGGGGGGGGTGTGTCTCTGCACACTGCCCCCACCCCAAACGCTGACTCCGCAGCTGCCATTGGCCGGGAACTGCAGCCAATGGGAGCTGCGGGGGCGGCACCTGAGGGCAGCGGCGCACAGAGACCCCCTGTCCCCCCTGCCTAGGAGCTGCTGCCAGAGGGGGGGGTGTGCCGGTCACTTTGGGAGATGCGCCGCCCAAGGTAAGCACTGCCCCCCTCCCGCACCCCAACCCCCTGCCCCAGCCCAGAGCCCGCACCCAAACTCCCTCCCAGAGCCCTCACCCCTCCTCCCACACCCCAACCCCCTGCCCTAGTCCAGAGCCTGCCCCCAGCACCCAAACTCCCTCCCAGAGCCCGCACCCCCTCACCCCTCCTCCCACACCCCAACGCCCTGCCCCAACCTAGATCACGCACCCAAACTCTCTCCCAGAGCCCTCACCCCTTCACCCCTCCTCCCACACTCCAACCCCTTGCCCTTGTCCAGAGCCTGCCCCCTGCACCCAAACTCCCTCCCAGAGCCCGCACCCCCTCACACCTCCTCCTACACCCTACCCGCTGCCCTAGTCCAGAGCCTGCACCCTGCACCCAAACTTCCTCCCAGAGCCCGACCCCTGCACCCCCTCCTGCACCCCAGCCCCTGCCCCAATCAAGGTACCTCATTTTATTTTCATTTACTTCCCATTACTTATAATATAGGAGGAGAATGAAGAAAAAAAGGATGAAAAACGGGGGGGAGGGGAGATAAGAGAGAATGTTCTTTTTCTTGGCTGGGTCCTGAGGGGCCCGCCTGAAAATGAAGCTGCGCACAGGGCCCCACTAACTCTAAATCCACCACTGGCCACCGTCATAGTTGACACCAGTCATCACCCTTCTTGGCAGCCTCAACACAAAAGCCGAGGACTGAATGGGCCATTGAGACCGGCCTATGGTCTCTCTCATTTAAATAATTCTTGAGGGACATGGGCAGTGAGGGGAACTTGGACTGCCAGTGCCCAAGCTGCACCTGTGTGAATAAATAAAGGACTTCATATGCCAGTGATGTTAACCTGTACCTTTTACTTCCACTGGCTCCTTCACAGAGTAGTGGGCACTGTGTTTGCATTCATTGTCCCTCAGAATTAGCTTATCCTTGTTTTTCTGTAGCACTCCTCCTCATTCTTGTTGAGGGATGGCTGCATGTGGGGGGTTTGGGGCGGAGCCACACCCATGTTTATAGGGGTCAAGTAGGTTAGACCCTTTAATTGCATTGACTCTTCAGTTCTCTTCACTGAGCCGTGGGCATTGTTTGAGGTGGTCTACTTCTGCATCCATGATTTTGAACCTGTGATTCATCCATCCTTTTTTCCCCATTTTTTGTCTCCCACCAGTTAGGTGATCCTTGGTTTTCTTTGTGGCATTTCTCTTTTGTGGCAAGGGCAGCCATTATTGTTTCACCCAGCGCTGGTGCCCTTTATATGTACCTGTCACCCCACGCCCCTCCCTGCACTGTTCTGATGTGTCCCAAGCGATCTGTTCCCCTTTGTCTTTCGCTTTCTTTGTTTTGGAGGTGGAAACATACCGAAGCGTCCTCAGTTGGGTGTGAGAATTGTTCGGGCTTGTGAGGGGGTTGGCCAGTTTGATGATCTGTGTGAGCAGGCCACGGTTGTTTACAGGTTTCGGCCCTTCTGAGAGCCTTGCTTCCTCACACAGGGACATCAAACTGGCCAACACTCTCTCAAGCCCGAATAATTCACACACAGAATTGAGGATGCTTCGGTAAGTTTCCACCTCCAAAACAAAGAAAACGAAAGATAAAATGCAGACAGGACTACACTCTGTCCTTGTCCTGTATAAGGAACTCCCATTGAAAGGGACTTTTGATGCCAAAACGGCGAACAGAATGTGGCTCATATTTAAGGGCACCCAAACTCACCCACTGGTTTGGAATCTATCCCTATCCATACAGTGTGGCTTTCCTCATGGAGTGTTACTCACTATCCCATTGGTTTCAGTGAGATTACTCTCAAGGAGTAAGGTACTACGCCATGTAAGTAAGGGTGGAAGAATCTCACGTCTAGCTTGCAAATGTTCCACAAAGTCAGAAAGAGACAAAACCCACTGGATTTTGCATTTGACAAATGCTCTCCGGCCACCCTTTATTACAAGCTAGATAACAGAAATATCAATAGCTTTCTGACGTGGATGATATGTCAAGACACTTGGACATTCCCCCAAAATATGAACCCAACTTTTTGGAGGTTCAAATGGTTTTGTCAGTCTGCTGTTAGTAGTATTCCAGTAGCAGCCCCCCTGATGTATAAACATATAATGAGAGAGAGAGACTCTGCCCTGAAGAGCTTACAAGTTAAATAGACTAGAAGGACAAGGGGAAATAGATGAAGTGACTCAGCCAAGGTCACACAGGAGGTCAGTGGCAGAGCTGGGAACCAACCCCAGGTCTCCTAACATTCAGTCCACTGCCTTATCCACTACTTCCTAAAAACCTATATTACCTCCTCCCCAGCTGTTACTATGTTCTGTACATGCTGGATTCAGCAGGAGTAGACGCTGGTGCTTGGAAGTACAGTGAGAAAGGCTTTCTAAGCCCAGACTCAAAAAGTCTGTCTAGGTCCAAGAAGGTTGACATAGAGATCTTGGGTTATGGGAGCTTGTCCAAACAGAAGCTGACTTCCTAATCTCTGCAGTTCCACCCATCACTAACTACCACTGAGCATGAAAAAAGCAAACATTTGACCAGAAACAGTTCAGGGATTCAGAGATGGAGACATCGTCTCCCATGGTGCCTTTCTGTTAAACCTTCTAAGGCATGATCTAAAACTGCTTTACAGAAGGGTTTATGCAATTCTGAACAATAAGTCCCTTTATAGAGTAGATGCACAGGAGTCAACCCCATAACAACTGTTGTGCGTTGCTTCTCAATGCAGTGTCATCTTCACACTTGCGTCATCGTGAGGATAACATCTAATACAAATCCTATGAGCGCTACACGTAGAGAGTAAGAACTGAAAGCACCAAATACATCAGAAAACCAGTGGTTTCCCTTTCACTTCAGGCCCAGTTCATGGGGTGGAACGTGAATTATAACCATTGCTTAACTCCTGTGTGTCTTGCCTTTTATGCTGAGTCATTGCAGGGGGTGTATTATTCAAACCATTTGGTCTTGCTTCTTTGTCATTCTAGATGGGCCCTATTTGAAGGATTCCGTTAGCATTCAAAGCTTGGCAGTTTCCTCCATCATTACGCTGTATTTTACAGATCTGGGTCAGCAGGTCACTTGGACCACAGTAAGTATGTCCTTGTAACAATCAACACGATAGATCTTAATGTAAAACACATTTAAGCTTCAGATTGCTTCCACTCCCTTGGCCTGTCCTTCTCTATGTCAAATTGCATCATTATTTTATCGTCCCTCAAACCCGAATTAAGTGATAGTCAGCCAAGTTGTCAACTTAGTCACTCAGACATCCAATTAAAGATTAGAGGATGGACATAACAATAGTGCCTGAGGGGGAAAAATCAATTTTTAAAAACAATTTTATCTTATCTTAGGCTAAACATACCTGTGAAGGACCTTTGACCAAAGATCTTCATTTGCTGCAAAGCTCTTTGGGATTCAGAATGAAAGGACATAGATATAAAACGTTACTAAAACAGGAAGATAATCCGATTGTAGTAGCTCAGTGCATTTACCCATCAGTTCACCTGAAAGGGGAATAGGAAGGATCAAGCTATAGATTGCGTTATGAAGCTGACTAATGAGGCTAAGGATTCCAAGGTATTTGAACCTCTTTGATATGGGTTGCCACAATGACAGAATTAATTTGCAATAGATACTGAAATTTACTTTATGAAATAGCAACGTAGTTCTATTACAGTAGCGCCTGCTGGGGCTTACTTACCATTGTGCTAAGCACCGTACTGACACATAGTAAACGGCAGTCCTTGCCCCAAAGAGATTAGTGTCTAAATAGACAAGACAGTTAAAGGGTGGGAGAGGAAATAGAGAGATACAGCAGGTTGGTGTAGAGGTGGGATTAGAATCCAGGTCTCCTGCACTCAATCCAATGCTCTGTCTACTCGATCATGCTGCCGTACCCTGTGGCTTTTTTGTAAGGTCTGAAATGTGATTTTTGGGAGCCCTAGACCCATCAGCAAACAGAGCTTTTGGGGGAGGGGAGGGGAATTCCGGGTTTTTGCACGCGGAAACGTACGTTATTTAGAGTTGCTTGGTTTCTGAAAGCAATAAGAGGAAGTATGTAGTCGTTCATAGCAATTAACACTCTCTGTAAATTACTTACACTTCTTTTAATGTTGCATTTGAATTAGTTTTTAATGGCCATCGAGGAGGAAGGACTGGATTCTCACAGCCTTCCCCATACGGGGTATTCTACTTCTTAGCAGTCAGAGAGTCAGAATTAAAGCCCTTCTCAATGGGCTGGGTGGAGCCATACTGCATGAGGGGCAGCGTGGAACTCCTGCCTCCCAGAGGCAGCCCTGGGATGGAATTGTGACTCCGGGAGCTACCCGCCTCTCGGACAGGAGGGCCTGAATGACCGCAAGTCTTACAAGGGAACAGCTTCCTCTGCGCTTGTGCCTAGGCAGCTCCTCTTGACCCTCTCCCAGCCCCCTTGTTGGGACAAGAAAGCAGGGCCTCCGCTCTGCACCAAGCCAGGGATTGGGAAGGCAGGGGAATGTGACTGTCCTGCTCGCCTTAAGCATGGCCAGGGCCAAGTCTAGCCCATGGTGAGGAAGGCTGTGAGAATCTGGCCCTTCGTATTTCAATTTCTTGGTCAGAATCAATAGGGGAAGGTAATTTGAAGCTAATTTGCATGTAGCCAGAGCCCTGCCACGGGGCAGGAGAGCACTGGGAAGATTCCCACCTTAGAGAAGCAAAATGTCTCTTAGAGCTGCTCGCTTGCACTGTGGGAAATTAATCTATGACACCCCCTCCAGGGACGCAACACACTTTCCCCCTCCTCTCTCTGGCTGTGCAGCTCCACAGGCTAGTGCACAGAGTGAAAGAGGGCTGAGCCCTGGCTCCACCCACTTTCTGGCCTCTTTCCAGTGAGTTGCTCCCAACCAGATACTAGCCCTTGTGCTCCCTGAAATATACGGGCTGCCGTTCCGGCTAGTCCTTACAGGGTAAGTCTTCGCTGCCAAGCCTGGGCTAGCTTCGTACGCGTGGAGCATCCCCGTTGCAAAGTGCTACCTGTGCCTGGCCCATGTAACTGCATCCAGGGTTCTGTACTAGCCCGTGTGCTGGGATGGATTTCTGGGGGTACAGCCCATGGTTCTTAGCGGTGCATTAAAGTGGGCTGCTCTGTTCATTCATTCACAGGGCGCTCTCTCTCTCTCACCTCGCAGGGAGCTGCTCTCTGTGGCAGGGACAGGGGACAAGGCTTTATGAATATAATCTCCAAGTGGGGTTACTCATTGTTTATGCAGATAGTTCTGAAGGTGAAAGCAAACAGCATTTGGCAGCAAGAGCTTTTAATGAGCATGTCATCCAGGAACTCAGTTGGCAAACCACCAAGTGGGCCATAGCGCGCTCCACTGACTTCTGTACCTCTCCACTTCTTTCCTGTCCACCACGCTGAGAAGTGGATCTTCACATCACAGCTTCCCCAGGGGGTGGGTTTGAGATTCTGGACAGGTGACAGGACGATTTCTTGGATGGCATCTCTGTATGCTGCACTTCCACAGCCTTTGAGCCGGCAATGGTTGGGTTAAGCCACAGTGCAGAAACAGGGAACAGTTAGACAGGAATCTACAACCCCAGTGGAATGGTGGGATAGCACTGAGGACTAACAGCACCCACGCTTGATTCGCGTGCATTCTCACCGCAAAGTAGGCTTGTTGCCCGCCCATGAAGTGGAATTCCAGCTCAAGCCTACACCCCCAGCTGTCCCTGTTAGCTCGGGCTTAATGCACCCTCCAGCCTGGGTGCGAGGTTTTCCTGTGTGGAGAGATGGGAGAATTAGGCTCTAGCTGGGCTCACTCTGTAGTGAAGACAAACCCACACAAGCTGTGCATGCGTAGTGGCTCCTCAGTGCCTCCCCTGCACTGCTGCTTAAGGTGTAATGGAGCAGGGATATGATCCGCCCCTCAGTAATCAGGGGAGGTAGCAATCACTGCGCATTACTAACCATTACTGCAAATCACTTACCCAACGGACCCATTTTTACTGTGTCTCAGCAATGAACTAGTGCTTTGCAGACACACTGGCAAAAGGCTCGTTACTGCCCGACTTTGGCCTGGTCAAGGGCAGCTTCCGGGTCAGAGCTGCAAGATGGCACATCTCTTCCCTGCAACTTGTGATGGTCTTACAGTCCTAGCCCTCTAGGCTCTCACCTGTAGGCATTTGTAGCTGTCCTGCCGAATGAATGCCACCTAGATCTCTGCTTACCCTGGAGGGCAGAAGGCAACACCCTGATTTCTTGGAGGTTGAACTCAGAATCGCAGTAGCATCTGCCCAGTACGCCCTTCCCTTTGAGTGTCTAGTTGCATCACTTCAGCCAGATCCTCAACTGGTGTAAATCAGCGTAAGTGTGTTGACTAGGGTTGCCAACTCTGACTGAAGCTATTCTGGGAGATTTTTCCCCCCAACATGACGTAATGTCATTTTCTTAAAAGATCCTATTAAAATCTCCCAGATTGCTTCAATAGTCACCGGGAGATCGATGCTGATTCCGGGAGACTCCAGGCCAATCCTGGAGGGTTGACAACCCTAGTGTTGACTTCAGTGGCGTTAATTCGATTGACCATATATGGCCCATTGACTTCCATAGAGCAAGGCTGATTTACACCAGCTGAGGATCTGGCCCCCTTTCTTTTTCAAGTATCCCACTCATGGGAAGGAATTGTAGAACCTCCCTGCAAAGTGAAAAGTGCTTCTGGTGCTGTTTCATGTTTGTTACAACTAAATAATCTGCAATAACCGTGTTTAATCTCTTCCTTCCCAGTGGTTTATGTCACCTAAAACAGTAGCATAACCAAAGCTTAATTCCTCATTGTAAATAATGAATTTATAGCGAGGCCTCAGTACCACAGGCGGTAGCATCTTTTACTATTTAATCCATGTGTAGAAAGTCCTCTCCGTGGGTTTCTCAGTATTCATCTTACCACATTGTGTTCCACAGACGAAACTGTCTCCGTTCTCAGCAGGAGGAATATTCTTCCTCGCTGTGCCATTAGTTTAAATATTCAGAACTTTTAGGGTAGGGTTATTCTGTAACAATATAGTTACAGTGTATAAACTAGTGTATTGTACAATAAAAGGCATTTAAAACTTTTATTTATTTAAGGTTTATGGTTATTAATAATTATAGTAGTACTCCAAGGCCCCAGCCAAATGAGGTAGAGTAGGGATTTGAGCACCTGAGTGCATTGGCCACCAGGCTACTGGGTATTCTGCAGTGGGTTGGCCCCCTCTGCTGGTTTTTCATGAGAAAGGGCTGACTTGGTTTGGGCACCCCGCTCCCGGAGAGACTTCATGGCTGAGAATCCCAAGCCGAGATGGCATCTCCCTTCAGACCATCAGTCAGTCATCTAGAGGGCCAGATCCATGGGAGTTAGCCACCTTTGTGAATCTGGGCCCTAAACCCCATCTCTTCCCTCTGCATGTCAGGCCTTGTGAGCTTAGGCAGATCTCCACTCCGCGGCTTGGCTTCTGAGCATCCCTCTCTCTAGGCACCTAAGTCTCCCCATGTGTGGTATGGGAGCCTGGGCACCTAACTTGCAGCTGAAATTTCCACTTGGCCACAGGGCACCTACAACTCTTTAGCCACTTTTTGAATCTAACCCCAAAGTGATTTAAGAGCCTAAGTGCCATTTTCAAAAATGACAAAGACGTTTAGGACCCTAAATCTCATCAAAAGTCAATGGAGCTTAGACTCGTAAGTGCTTGTCACGTGACGTACTGTGACGGGGTCTCACGGGGTTCAGCCTCCTGGCCCCGCTCCCCGATGAGTCAGGACCAGTTCTAGCTGGTGCAACACCCATGCTCTTTATTCCTGTGCCTGGTCTCCTCCTCCTGGTCTCCATCCCCCTGGGCTCACTTCCTCCCAAGCTTTTAGCCCCTGTTAACGAGGTGGGCAGGTGAGCAGGTGTGGCCAGTTTCCAGGCCAGTCCTAGCTAGTGGCCAGCCTCTACCCATTTCCCCTGATTGGGGCTGGCGTGGCAGGAGCTGATTAGCGCTTCCCCTGCAGTGCCCTGCCACCAGTACTCAACAACTAACCTTCCCACTGAGAACAGTTCTTCCCCACAATCTCGTCTCAACAGGTGC